TAATATAAACACTGTTAATTGACATCAATACTAATATAAACACTGTTCACTGACTTCAACTACTCTATAAACACTGTTCATTGACATCAAATACTCATATAAACACTGTTCATTGACATCAAATACTAATATAAACACTGTTCATTGACATCAAATACTCTTATAAACACTGTTAATTGACATCAAATACTAATATAAACACTGTTAATTGACATCAATACTAATATAAACACTGTTCACTGACTTCAACTACTCTATAAACACTGTTCATTGACATCAAATACTCATATAAACACTGTTCATTGACATCAAATACTCATATAAGCACTGTTAATTGACATCAAATACTCATAAACACTGTTAATTGACATCAAATAATAATATAAACACTGTTCATTGACATCAAATACAAATATAAGCACTGTTCATTGACATCAAATACTCATATAAACACTGTTAATTGACATCAAATACTAATATAAACACTGTTCATTGACATCAAATACTCTTATAAACACTGTTCATTGACATCAAATACTAATATAAACACTGTTAATTGACATCAATACTAATATAAACACTGTTCACTGACTTCAACTACTCTATAAACACTGTTCATTGACATCAAATACTCATATAAACACTGTTCATTGACATCAAATACTCGTATAAGCACTGTTAATTGACATCAAATACTCATAAACACTGTTAATTGACATCAAATACTAATATAAACACTGTTCATTGACATCAAATACAAATATAAGCACTGTTCATTGACATCAAATACTCATATAAACACTGTTCATTTACATCAAATACTCTTATAAACACTGTTCATTGACATCAAATACTAATATAAACACTGTTCATTGACTTCAAATACTAATATAAACACTGTTCATTGACATCAAATACAAATATAAGCACTGTTCATTGACATCAAATACTCATATAAACACTGTTCATTGACATCAAATACAAATATAAGCACTGTTCATTGACATCAAATACTCAT